GTGTCTGTGTGTCCGTGGTGTCTGTAGTGTCTGTAGTGTCCGTGGTGTCTGTGTGTCCGTGGTGTCTGTAGTGTCTGTGGTGTCTGTGGTGTCCGTGGTGTCTCAAACTCGTTCCTCATGAATCCTGCGGAGGATCTCCTGCTGTTTCCTCTCATTCACACATTATCCAGAGGGTTTACCAGGAGCCTCTCAGTCAGACTCTCAAACCATCAAATGAAATCAAACTTTATTTGTTTTTCCTCTTGCAAGTTGGAATAAAAGCTGCTGATGTGGAAACGTATGAAATCTCCACCACAGCTCCACAAACCAGACGTGTGATTGTCCCTGTGTTTCCCTCTTCAGGGTGGAATCTCCAACACAAATAAAAAGACGTGTTGTGTTATAGAGCGAAATGCACAGAACGGGATGGAGAGTCAGAGTGAAACACAGGAGAGAGAGAGAGAGAGAGAGAGAGAGAGAGAGAGACATCAGGTGGCCGCTTCAGGCCAGATCTCTGCCAAGCGACCGCCGATGCCAACTTCCTGCTTCCCTCCCTTTCTTCTCCCGTCTCGTGCTTTGTTCTGCCAGCACAACACGAGGAAACGCTCGCTCTCCCTCTGTCTCTCTCTCTCTCTCTCTCACTGTATATGTCATGGACGTCCAGTGTGAATTGATCTGGAGCCGCTCTCTCGGACCCCGAGGACACACACATCAAACAAAGCTCTACATTAGCAGAAGATGAAACCACAGTGGAGACGCCGGCAGCACCTCCAGCCGCTCGTCCCCAGGGAGCCACGCTGCTGCTCTCTGATGATAAACCTTTACATCCAGCAGAGCAACATCTGTCCACAGCTGCAGCACCATGGTTCTGTCAGAGGGACAATCATCTGTCACGTGCTGCTCTGATGTGAACGCAGCTCACCTGGGGACAGTTCATGAACGAAGACATGTATATTAAATTTAATTAATTAAAGTTATTCTCATTGTTCATTATAATGAATCTGTCAGGATTCGCTCAACGCAACAAACACAAAGAGATTCATTGTCTAAATTTAACTATTGATCATGTGACGTCTCTGATGTCAGATGGTAGTGATGATGACACTACACTGGTTTGATAGAGCCATGCTTGGAAACCCCTCACATCAAACTGGGCAGTGACCCCATCAACAGAAAGGTCTATAGAATAATAATAATAACTTTAGAATCTGTGGGCAGTGAAAAGATCAGTCCTTGTCACATGCTTGTTTTTCAGTCTCGTGTGTAGATTTGAGGTCTGAGACTAAGAAGAACATTAATTATTCATCGTCTCATCTTCCTTTCATTCATTAACATATTGATGAAGAACAGGACGATCGTTACAGGCGTCTTCTTTCATTTCCTTTTCCCTCTGGACATTTTTATTCTCTTATTATTTGCTGTAACCTGCACGAAATGATCACGTGACAGAAGCAGTGTTTGTTTTGTGAAGGTCGGAGCCGATCGCCGCCGCGGCCTCGTCTCGTGTTATTGAACCGTTCAGCTCCGACACGACAAACAAACCCTGTGTCCTTATTCACACACAGTCCACCACAATCACCACCTGCAAACACAACATCAACACACTCCACATCACACATCGGTCAGAATGAAACCACTGAGCGCTTCTACAGTCACTGTTTAAAAACCACAGGTTTCATGAAGTTCAGTATTTGACATCCAGATGATCTGGAGTCAAAGAAACCGACCACGTTCTTGGTTAGAGAGTGAATTTGTTTCTTTTTACGAAATCGTCAGAAACAGTTCTGCGTCTTTTAGTGTTCGAGTACGAAGCTTCTGTGATGAATCTCTGAGAACAGTTAAAATAAGAACTTTACTGAGATGCATGTGAACTTTAACGTAGAGTAGACGTAGCCACAGACTGGGCCCAGAATGTGAAGCCAGTGAGGAAGTCCCCGAAGTCTTCTGTGTAATGACCAGCAGGGGGCGACTCCACTGGTAGTTTCTATAGAAGTCTATGAGAAAATGACTTTTCACTTTATAAACTCAAAAGTAAGAATACGCAATTCTGAGTGAATGAAACAGCAACTTAGAGTTCAAGTTAAAAACATACTTCATACATTGATTAGTCCACTGAAGATATTATAGTATAAAATATCTGAAGCTTCAAGTTTTCATCTTTAAAGAATAATATTGGAATTAGTTATTTGATCATATAAAAACAAGCTGAGTCATGATTGACAGCTGATGCTGACTCGTGATTGGTCGGGAGTGTGTGTGAGTGAGCTCCTGGAGACTTCACCACAAGATGGCAGCGTTCGTACCCGAGATAATTTGGCTTCACTTTATTTTTTTCCCCAAAGGGAGGAAGTGAAGATGCGTCGGCCATCTTTATGTACACTCACACTTTGTCATGTTTATTTATATAAATCTCCTGATGATGAAACATAATTCAGCTTTAACGTGTGCTTGAGTCGGACCAACAGAAAGTCTGAATAATCAATTCACGATCACACACACACACGCTAACAAGACAGGTACTCACCGTCTGCTGCAGGTCGGGGATGAGGACGCGGACGACCAGCGAGTTTGTGTGAATGTCGTCCATGCGGTGCGGCGATGGCTGGGCCGTGGCCCTTATGGTCTCGTAAATGGTCTCTTCTCTGGAGCTGTCGGAGGCGCAGTCGTCGGAGTAGTCTGAAAAGCTCTGGGCCATCTCATCCTCACTGGAGGTGGGGCTCCGGGGCATAGTCAGCAGGCCCGGCGGATTCAGCTGCAACAGACGAGGAGGGAGAGAAGGTCAGAGTCGCTTCATTACAGAGAGTCGGCGTTCAGACTCCCACCGCTCCCATTAGGCACCTTTACTGAGCCCCCAAACATGGTGCTTGTTAGTTTATCCTCATCCTTTCTGCTCGGAGCCTTTTCAGGAAACTCCCGCAGGAATTACTGTGACCGAGCGTCTTCACAAACACATTCTGCTTCATTACGGCTCCGGTGAGAACGTACGAGGCTGAAACTGCAGCTGCAGGTCGAGCGTGAGTGTTAAAGTGAGCGTCAGCGGGATTTATGGATGAGAAGATTGAAGCATCAGTCTCTGCCTGGAGTCAGACTGTCCTGAGCGACAGGGATGGAAATAAGACATTTTAAAAACCGGAATAATCAGCTGCGTCTTAATTCTGGTTCCCTGATTAGAAACCAGACTCAAGGTTTAAACAGACGTCGTGAATTAAATACTCGGCGAGAAGATTTGAATTTAAATACAGTGAACGACTTCAGCTTCTGTAATTTGAGATATTTTAAAGTGAGGTGAAGACAAAGAGCAGAGTTTTCTTGAACGTCCAGTTTTCCAGCACTTTTAAACTACAGGTCACACTCCCCCATTTACACACCAGGGATTGAACCAGCGACCTTTAGATGAGCGGACAAGCCACTCTACCACAGGAGTTCTTTTTCCTTTTTTTATTTTTTGGTTTAGTATAAAAATCAATAAAGCACCTTCATCATTAGAACTTTTATAATTTTACTTTTTATTATATCGTTGTTTAGACTTGGTTCAATTATAAAACTATTAAAATGTGAACTAACCAGGTCTAATTGTTTCATTACCTGAAAATAATTGGTAGTTGCCATCAAGTTTTTTTATATTTAAATTAAACTCGAATGTAAATCTTACGTGACTGAGAACAGCCCTCGAGTAAAAAAGTGAACCAACCAATCAGAGTCCACGAAACAAAGCGGCGTCATTGCTTCTTGTTCGATTCTCATCACAGCAGCGGGTTTGACACTTGACCACAGTGGTTGTGATGAATTTGGATTATTTGACAGAATCGCTGCGACACCATCAACACAATCAATTCTTTTCATCAACAGCGAACGAGAGGAAACGATCCATCCTCCACTTTTCATCAGGAGAAAACACGAGGGTCCGGTTTGATGAAGGAGAAACTCCTCACCACGGCTGCAGCTCTCGTCTGAGTCGTGTGTGTGTGTGTGTGTGTGTGTGTGTGTGTGTGTGTGTCCATTAGCTGAGCTGCTTGTCAATGTGTCACGGTCGTTGTCACAGAAACCTGGACACTGCAGATCTTTGTGTTTTTGGAGAACAACAGCTACAGGACAGTGGTTCAGCAAAATGTGCAGTGGAGGGATTTTCTTTTTTCACTCATTTGGATTCACTGAGCTCGTTTGTCCTCGTTATAAAAACAGTGAGAGCCACTTTTCAATTCTACAAATTCATCAAGAGACAAACAACAAGAGCAGAAAGTCTACAGCTGCTGACGAGATCGATCCAAGTCCAAACTACTGAAGGAACAAACAAGAGGGAAAATCAACTTCTGTTTCAACACATTTGTTCAGCTGTTTTCAAATCAAAGTCCTGACGTGTTCCTGACGTGTTCCTGACGTGTTCCTGACGTGTTCCTGACGTGCTCCTGACGTGTTCCTGACGTGTTAATGACGTGTTCCTGACGTGCTCCTGACGTGCTCCTGACTGGAAGAACACAAATCTCTCAGGATGAAGAGGAGGAGCCGTGTTGCCTTGAACGAGTCAAGCCACTTGTCGTTATATGAGAACGCACACACACACACACACACACACACACACACACACACCTATTTCCATTGTATCCTGGTCATTTGTCTTAATGGGTTTTATTGTCTTTAGCAACAGTTGCTCAATTCGTTCAATGATGCAACTGAAAAGATGAAAAGACGTTTTCGGAGACGTAATTAAAAGCTATTTCCTTTGATTTGCGTGATGCACGTGTGTGTGTGTGTGTGTGTGTGTGTGTGTGTGTGTGTGTGTGTGAGCAGAAGATGGAGGAGGAAAGACAACCTGACTTTGTTCAGTGTAAACGTCTGTGACAGAAATAGGTTGGGGCGCACGCTGCTGAATACCTGTAACACACACACACACACACACACACACACACACACACACACACACACACACACACACACACACACACACACAGCAGAGCTGGGAGCCACTTGAGCAGAAGGAAAACATGTAATTTGCTGCATTAAGGTGCATTAAAGTCGAGTGGGGATTTGTACGTGTTTCATTCAAAGCAGTCGCAGCTGAACTACAGAGGACGACATCAGTGGAAGCTGCAGTAAAGGATCAACGCAGTAAATGTCACGTCAGCCTCGTCCACAGCTCTTCTATCGTTCTCTCTCTGTGATCATGAGACGTGCAGGTGTGGTGTCTGTCCTTCACCTTCGATCAACAGAATCAGATCAGTTTATCCTTGAAACTGAACATTCGCTCCAGATATGAAGACACCGCTCAATGTTCCTGAGATATCAGGTTCACAGGGACAACCCAGAAAATATAACACGTGGAGGCGATGACGTCAGGAAAAAGACATGAAAGCAAAAGGAACCAGATCAAACGTCCACAATGTCACAAGAGCACAAATGGTTCAGACGTTTAAATCGTCATGTGAGACGACGACAGAGGTTTCTGCTGGAGAGGAATCAGATTTCAGTCTGTGAGGAAACATTAGCTTCAGCTCCACAGGTTCCTTCATTTAAATCAGACATTTAGGATTCTGCTCTTACGCTCGAGACGGAGAAACTGAACTCATCACTCTTCATCAATCAATCAATCAATCAATCAATCAATCAGGGAGACTCAACCTGACTTCAGCAGAAAACACCTCGTACAGACACAGAGCGTGATCGATGTGTTACGTCTCCTGAGTTGATTTGTTCATCTGAAAACTGATAAAGAAGAAAACAGACTCAAGGTCACTGAGATTTAGTTTTGTTTTATCTGTGCACACATTCTTCATATGTCCGACATCATCACCGACACATTCTGTCCCACATATAAAGACAAAGACCTCCGGATGCATCTTCCTGTAGAAATACTTCCTGTCGTCTTTATTTACAGAAACAAGCCGTGACGCCTCGTGACTTGTGTCTCGTGTGTCGTTAGTTTTTCCACAGACAGATTTATAAACTCACATTTCTTCGTCTGGGTCGGTTTCTTTTCAAACACTTTGTCTAAGTCTTCAACTGAGAACCATCGTCTCTCGTGTCTGAATCATCTCCAGGAAATATCTCTGAGCATCACCCCCGTTTATTTACAGCAAAACTCTGAAAAAGAGAAAGAAAGGAAATAAAACGAACCTGGATCTGAGAGAACGTCAGAGAAACACGGTACAGACATGTGTGATCATACGTCCACGTTATTTACAATATGAATAGAGAAACCAGTGTGAGGAGGAAGAGGAGGAAGAGGAGGAAGAGGAGGTGGAGACGTTTATTGAGTTTTCCTCTGCGACGCTCGATAAGAAGCTGAAAGCAGAGAAAGTCTGGAGGTGACGGACAAGTGATGAGGTCGTTCATGCAGCGGAGATAATCTCTGTGGTCGTCTTGGTTCTTTGCATCAGTGACGTGACACTTTGTGTTTGATTGATGTGTGTGTGTGTGTGTGTGTGTGTGTTAGTGACGGATCAATGACAGATGTCAAAATTGACCAGCAGCCTTCAGGCTCATGACTGATGCAGATCTAAAACAGACGAACAACGATGGAGCCAGAGTGAAATGGAAACGATGAACAGCACTTGTCAGGTCGATTGAATCTGATCCATGTTTGACAACAGACAGTTAAACGAACAGTCGTCCGACCCAGATGTGTCAGTCACCGGGAAACAGGAGAGAAGAAGAAAACAGCTCTGTTGCCACGCGTCGTCCTCACAGGCAGAATTTCTTCTCTTTCATTTTTACTGTACAGATGCTCAAACAGATGTTACGTAAATTAAAAACTACCAGAGAACAGCAGTGATTGGCAAACCACCTTGTTGTCCCGAACAGACGCAGACCAAAACATCTGAACATCTCTCGACGCCAGAGATTTAAAACAGGAAGTGCAGCTTTTAAAGGCTGACATAAGACGATCGCTCCATCTGAGGAGGAGGAGGAGGAGGAGGAAGATTTTCTGTTTTTACACATCTCGGTCCAGTAAGATTCAATACGGCTGCAGGGTTTTTAGAAGTTTGAAGAAGTTTAGTGAAAACAGAAACTTGAACTGAGACAGACTGAGCGTGAGAAACAAAATACATCTGATTAAAAATTCGACCACGTCTCGTTTCACACCTTCACGGTTCTGTGAATGAAAACAGGACTCACACCTCTCACACCCGACAGACTCCAGGTGACTGCAGGGACGTGCACGGCTGCAGCTGAAACTGAGAAACTAGGAAAGTGACGGCGTGGACGGTAACAACTTCATGGACGTTAGCATGTGTTAGCACATGGCTATTAGCGCTGCGCAGTAAGTGAGAGTAATTAATTAATCCTAATGAACAGAATCACAAATACTTTATTTATACTTTCCATGTAGCTTGTTTTCATTTTCCTGTTGCTCGTTCACTGAAAGGTTGGTTTTGTCCTCTCCTCAGTAAAGGTCACCTCCACAGCCTTTTAACCTTCACGACAGGGGGGAGGGGGGAAACTTCTATCGCCTAGCAACAGGGTTGAAGGAGGAGGAGCTGCCTTATCTCCTGGAAACGTCCGATTCCCCCGGTCGTTCCAGGACAGTGTTCACTGAGCTCGGAGCCGATGGTTCCACACAGAGAAGAACCCACGAGACGTTTGAGTTTAACGACTGAAACAATCGGATCATGTTGAAGTTATCAGGTTATTTTAACTGGAGGTAAACAGTGATTCACTCTGAGGTTTATTTAACAGAAGGAATGTTAGAGATTTAATAAATGATAATAATAAAGTCTGACTGTAAGAAACTGAACGAACGTGATGTGAACACGTGATATTTTCAGTTTCTCCTCTTCAGCTTCGTCTGTCGACGTCTGCAGTGACTGAACAGACTTTTAATTTGAAGAGATACAAACAGCTCTGTACTTAACCTTCAGTGA